ACCCTTTTCCCGCGTGAAGGAAGCACAGAGATTCAATAGGACACGAAAGGCTTTCTGGTGGGAAGTGGATGGTGGCAGCAGCTCCAGGAGCAGGGGATTCAGATTGGGGCCCAGGGGGCTCCCCGATGGAGGTCGCGTGACTCCCTTCCTTGTGTCACACGAGCCGGCGTCCCCAGCCTGGAGGCCAGGCCAAGCCAGGCCGCTTAACACCTACTCACAGTGGGGCTCCTGGTGGCTCTGGGAGACCGTGGGCCTGGTCCACCCCTCGGCCCTGGGGGCGGGGTGATGGTGCCAGTGGTAACGGGTGGAAACCGCAGGCACTCAGCGCCGACGCGGCACCAGCGTCACTCCTCGGTGGACGGGGGGGTGGGGGCGTGAGACGCGGCCTCCAGCCTCTTCTTTAAACAGGAGCAAAAGGAACGTGATTCAGGTCCTTACGTACCAAGTGCACAACAGCCATTTAGAAAAACCTTCTATTTGCAAGACTCACAGAGAGTTGCAGAGATCTGGGTCCCCTTCAGCCAGTGTCCCCAGCAATGACAAGTTGATATTAAGGACAGTGGCCATCATCCCGGAGTGGCCTTTGGAGACCCCGAAGGAGCCAGAGTTGGGGTGTGGGGGGCCTGGAGTCCCACGTTGCCATTAGTCAAATGCGTGTAAGAGGTCAGGGGACGTTTGAGAGGCCTGGAGACTTTCAGAGATGTTACCACTGGGGGTTCAGAGTGTTTCAGTTTATTGTTACCACGTGATGGGTGCGTGTTACAGGAAGATGCAGCCTCAGAGCACCCTTCCCTGTGTGGTTTGGCAAAGATTAAATCCATCGGGCCCTGTGTTGGCGAGGCCGTGCAGGGGACCTGACCCCCGGGAGGTGTCAGGAGCCCCAAGTGTTCATGCTCTTTGACGGAGGCTGTGGATCTGTGCTGAGGAAATGACCAGAAAGGCCACCAGGATCTCACGCTGGATGTTCACACCTCTGGTACTGATAAGAGCAACAAATTGGGAGCAACCCACAGGTCCACCCACAGAGCAGTGATCAGTCATCTACAGGACAAGATGTGACGCTGAGATCAAACCATTTTTGAACAATGTGCTAAAATGCTCAACATGTGATCTTTACGTTAAAAAAGCCAGGGTATCACACTATGTATTTTATTTTGTTAAGATCTATCCCTTTTGTGTAAAAATACTTACAGATATACGCCCAGCTGTGGAGGTAGTTTCTCTGGTTGATTATGAGATACATACGTGTGTGTGTGGAGAGAATGTAAAGTAGCTTCTGTTTGTACAGATCAGCGGGATCTTAGATTCGAATTTAACCGCGTGTTGTCTTGGCTGCATTGAGTGTGGCTTTTTAAAAAATCCAATTAAGTTGGAGGTGAGTTTGAAGTTATTCAGCAGCCCTGGGCTGAGGCCATGAGAGAACTCTCCTGATGTGGTCCCCGTGGCGGCTCCTCTCCGGGTCATTGGTGACCCCCAGGAATGACGCTCGGCTGCAGGGCCCGTGAGGGGGTTGGGCTGGGACAGCGCAGCCATGAATCACCGTCCTCGCAGCCGGGGCCGCTGCGTCTTGGAACATTCCTTCCAGTCTTAGGCCTTTTCTCTGAATCAGAGATACATTTACATTTTTTGTGGAGTTGCCAAACTCATGCTGAAAATTTCCAACCCCAAACAATAATTTAAATTGTCTGTATTACAGTATTTATTTTGTGGACCATTCTAACTTTAAATTGTCTGTATTGCAATATTTATTTTGTGGACCATTCTGACTTTAAATTGTCTGTATTGCAGTATTTATTTTGTGGACCATTCTGACTTTAAATTGTCTGTATTGCAGTATTTATTTTGTGGACCATTCTGACTTTAAATTGTCTGTATTGCAATATTTATTTTGTGGACCATTCTGACTCGAAACTGTGCTCACGCTGTATTGCTGGCTTTGTCCGTGACTCAGGAGCCAGTCATTTCCCCAGATCTATTCCTCTGTGGTGTTCAAGTGCAGAGCGGCTCAGAAGATGCTTGCCCTGCGCAGACGGCGAGGGATTGCACTTTCCATCCTTCCTTTGCTTCTCTTTCCGTCGCACACTCTCGTTTTTTAATTTCCTGGGGGTCAGATGAACCTAACTTTTATTTTGTTTTTCGTTTGTTTCTTTTCTGTTTATAGCAGAGGACGGTGTTTTCACTTAGATCAACAGTATGTATAAGATAACAGAACAGATTAGTGCGTTGGATATTCTAAACGGAGACGTGGTCTGCTCCCTCCGGGCGGGGTGTGCTGAGCTGGGCAGTTTGTCTGGGGGTCGGGGCAGCTCCCGTAAGATGCTAGTTACCGAGGGCCGGCCTCGCGCTCGAAGCCCGTGGCTCACTTGTCCTTCGTCCTGGCGGTGTGGCCGCATGTGTTGCTGATAACACGTCAAGAAAGTGCTTCTGAGCACCACAGCCCGGGAGACTGCTAAACGCATCACGGAGCTTCGCCCACCAGGAAAACTCCCATTCGATTCTGTTTAGCGTTTCTCAGAAGCCACCTGGCATTGGTGGTGGGGCGGGGGGCTCCTGCGCTCAGCCCGTGACTTGGGCGTTTCCCTTGTCTGGGCATCTCGGAATCTCCGCGCACACACATGTCCGCCCCATTCTTCTTGGTCACATCGTCTTGAGTTTTCCGAGGCTGTACTTAGTGAGAACCGGGGGGCGGGGGGCATCTTGTTGACATGGAATCAAAATGTAGACAGCAGACGGGGGCCCGGCGGGTGGGCGATGAGCATCCCACCCGCCTGCGGTCTCGCTTCCTGAAGAAATCTGGGTTTAGGTTGGCCGTTGAATAGAGGGTTTTCAAGTGCAAGTTGGTCCTGGAATCCGACACGTAGTCTGGAGGAGGGGCTTCCCAGGGTTGGAAGGCCTCCCATGCGGACGGTGATTTTAGGGCCCAGCAGGGTGGACACGGGGGCTGAGGGACACACTCCAAAGCGGCCTCCGTGCCTGCACGGAGGTCCTGGCCCCTGGGGGGCGCTGGTCTTCCCCACCTCCACTGGCGTCTGACTGTTGGACACGCCCACTTCACTGTATCTGCGGCGGATTCCAGTTAGGATTTTACATTTCTCGCTGCGTCGACACAGATGCAGCCTCTTCTCACGTTCGAGCCTTTGATTTGCTGCTCGAAGGTCGAGCTCAGGCCCACTGGGAGGCCCGTCCGCCCGGGTGGCATCGGGGCTGGCGGTGTCCCTGGGACCCAGTGAAGACTGTATAGTGGGATGTGGTGTGCGCGGCCTGCGTCCCGCCAGGCTCTCAGCAGCGCCGTGTGCTCTCAGAGGAGCCCGGCGGGCGGGGCTGCAGAGCCCGAGGGTGGACAGGGTGCCCGCAAAGCGGATTCAGCAACTGACGTGCGTGGCGAGATGATTCCGTTTCTACCGTCACTGGAAAACCACGAATGCCCCGAAATATACTGTCCTTTCCAGGAGTATTTTGCACGTGTTTTAGAAATTACATGTTTGATTCCAATTCAAGCTGATTTCTGGGCTTTTTCTCCTTTCAAAAAGTACCTTTATTCTATCTATTGTTTTGTGTTTTAAAAATCACCCTGATTCATAGTCTGAGATGAGGCGGAGAAGCTGGGGGACGTTTCGGGGAAGCAGGGGACCGACTCCTTCCAGGCTGAGACGCCACGAGCACTGCGTCTGTGTGTCTGGGCCTCTAAACAAAACCCACCCTTCCCAGCCACCTGTCCCAAACAAGCCGCCGGCACGCACGGTGTCTCTGCTGCATGCACGGAAACGGACGCATCAGTGACAGGCGGAGCGGGGCGAGGGGACAGTGGCGCCCAGACGGTGGAGACTCTGGGAGCGAGGGCACCTTCAGCACTGTGTGTGGAGGGCGAGACCTGGGCGCCTCCCGTCCACCTCTGCGGGGGCAGGGGGTCCTCACACTGCTCCCGCTCTGCAGCCCTCCTGGCCGGCCCGGGGTTGGCTTCCAGACACCTCTGAGGTCTGACGAGCAGCATCTCTGTTGGGTCAGGTTCTGCATCCGAGAGGGGAGGGGGAGGGGCTGTCACCGTGGGGACCAAGAGCCGCCACCCCCCTCACTGGGCTCTCGTTGTAGAAGGGCAGTGGGTGGACCAGACCCCAGCTCCTGTGAGGGCCTGGCGACCTCTGCCTGTGAACTGTGGCTTTTGGGGGTCAGCCTTTTGTCTTTTTACAGGGCAGGACCCTGAAGCATGTTCTGTAGGGAGAGCAGGACCTTTGGCCTCACGTGGACCTGGTTTCAGGTGGCAAATGGCCTCCATCTCCCATCTGTACAGGGAGGCTGTCAGTGCCCCAGAGATCTGAGGTTGTCGTGGGCCTCGTGGACCCCTCAGGCAGGGCCCGGCTCACTCCACCTCCCCTCTTCAGCCTCCAAGTGACAAACCCACCTTGCAAATCTGCCTTGGGCCCCAGGGCCTCTCCCTTGGTTCTGTGGATCTTTGTCTGCAGCTCACTCGCGCCCTGGGTGGGCGGCTGCCCAGGTGTCGTGCACGGAGCACGGGATGTAGGGGGCTGGGCGAGATTGCCACAACCCCGCCATTTTATCAGGGGCCCGGTGGCACCCCCGACGGTTCACTCCTGCCCGCAGCCAGTGCGCGTGGGACAGAGGGGATGGGAACCAGGCCGCCCAGTTCTGAGGCCAGGCTGATAGAACTGTGATTCTGAAAAGTTCTTTAATTCTGGAGCCTATCTTATTAGGGAGGTTAAATAATTTATAGGCATATCGTGAAGGAAGGAAAATATTTTAAGGTCGTGTGGGAAAATGTTTCCATCTTATTCAGAAGCTCATCATGAAGGCCTGACAAGGCTCTGGGCGTCCATCACGATCTGGTTGCCGTTGGCTGTGTCAGGCCGTTATCCTTATCGATGGAAATTTCAGATACAAGCCCGGCAGGATGAGCTGCTTCTCAGGGCCCCAGGGTCTTAGGTGGGTCTGTGGTCTGTGGGAAGCCGCGGCATGAATGTTTAATGCTCTGTGTTCCATTTCAGCCCGTCTCTCCCTGCCCTCGACTGGCAGCTGCCGTCACACTCAGGACCGTACGAGCTGAGGATCGAGGTGCAGCCCAAGTCCCACCACAGAGCTCATTACGAGACGGAGGGGAGCCGGGGGGCCGTGAAGGCGTTGGCCGGAGGACACCCCAGCGTGCAGGTATCCACTCTGCTCTGACTCCAAGTCCTGTCCCTGCTGCAGGGGCAGCAGCTGGGGCTGGTTTAATCCAAAGGCCACTTTGCGGTAACAGCTAACAGCGCCTTTCATTTTCTGTCTTTTTAAAAAAATATTCTTATCTCCCAACCAGTATAGCTAAATATCTTATACACAGTCAAGCCCCAGTTTTCTCCTCAATACATAGAGTGGTACAATGGTACAATATACAGTGGTATAAAGGTACCAAGCTCTGCTTGCCTCTGGAGCTCATAGACCAGCTGTACTCGTTACACCTGAGGCTCCTCTTCGGTGGAACTGCTTTGGGGGAGCAGGCGATACCCTGAAGATTGTGGGGGCGTGACCAGCCCGGCAGGGTTGGGAGGACTCCCCTGGACGGTGTTGCCAGCAAGCCTTTATTCAACGGGGAGGCAGGACGGCTGTAGCGTTTGCTTGTGTCTCCTAGTGGGTAACTGAGGGGACCTCGGTACAGCCCGGCTATTGCTGTGTCCCGGTGGACAATGCCCTTTATCCCCATGTGTCCCTGAGCAGTCATGTTCCACTCAGAACAGACGGGAAAGAGGGAAGAGAGAAGCCAAGGGGAGACAGTGTGTCCAAGAAGATGCCCTGGGCCACCTTGAGGGTCCATCTCGCTGCCTGGATGGTGGCCAGTGGGCAGTGTGGCCTGGGGGCTGCTGTCTAGACCTCTTAGTAGACTTGACCTTGGTGCTATTTCGTTTTAAGGTGTCCTGGAATAGGAAAATTTAAAAGAAAAGAAATATACCTTTGAAATAAAAGTGCTTTATTTTTGAGGACCTTTTCTTTAACAAATCTGTAGAAATAAGTGTTCAGGGTTATTAAAACCAAGGACTGACGCTTCTGCTGAGAAGCGCGCCCGCGATTTCTAGTCCAGCTGCATTTTGTCCATCGTTCCTGCTGCAGACGTTCCACAGCGTACACTGCACGCTGGGTGCCGTGCACGCCACACACAGACGGGCAGAGGACTCCTCCTGGCGCCCCTGCTCTGGGGAGAGTCAGAGAATCGAATCCAGGGGCCCTCTGCCCTCTCCAGCCCCGAGAGGAATGGAGCCCACCTCTGCCCAGCCCTCTGCTCAGAATTAACCCCATCCCCCAGATCACAGATGGGGACAGATGGGAAGAGCGTGCAGCCCTGCTCTGCCCGCAGCCGCTGTTCCCCTCCTGCGTTGGCCGTGGCCACCCACCTCCTGGGGCTGCTTCCCCGAATGTGGCCACCATCCTTGTAGCACGTCTCCCCACGGCCGTCAACAGAGCCTCGACCAAGGTCTCCTGGGGCCACGTTAAGATTTGTCCAAAGCGAAGTCCATCTGCACGGCAGCTGCCTCTGGTTTGGGGTTTTCAGGGGCTACTTTTAAAGACTCCATCCTTTCCTCTCTGAAGCCTTGGACCCTTTGAGGCAGTGGTTCCCAAAGTAAACCTCCCCAGGGTCCCTTAGAGATGCGATTCTCTGGCCCACGCGCCCCACTGGGCCCTGGGTCTGCTCACCAGCCCCAGCACTGGAGTGCCAGCTGGGACCCGCCACTTTTCTTCTCAGCTGGGGACAGGAGGAGTGGGGACCTGCCGTGGGGTGTCGGGGCCAGGGCAGCATCGGGGAGGGGCTGCTCCGGCCTCACGGGGAGCCGGCGGGGCTCTGTCGGTGTGGCTCCGGGTGCCACTCCCCAGCCTCACACACCCCGGGGGAGATGGGTGTACTTGGTGTCAGAGTCAACGTGTTCAGAGCTGGTGTCCAGGCCGCGCCTGCCATCCCAAACCTGTCGCTCCCCTCCAGCCCAGGAGGTGGAGGTGAGCTCGCGGACAGGCCGTCCTGCAGGCGGTGGCATTTGGTCACACGTGTCTCCTTATCAGCCCAGCGTCTCCCACCAGACCCCTGTGACGTGAGCTGTGACCGTCCCCTTGGACATCTCCCACCAGACCCCTGTGACGTGAGCTGTGACCGTCCCCTTGGACGTCTCCCACCGGACCCCTGTGACGTGAGCTGTGACCGTCCCCTTGGACGTCTCCCACCGGACCCCTGTGACGTGACCTGTGACCGTCCCCTTGGACGTCTCCCACCGGACCCCTGTGACGTGAGCTGTGACCGTCCCCTTGGACGTCTCCCACCAGACCCCTGTGACGTGACCTGTGACCGTCCCCTTGGACGTGAGCTTGCCCTCCTGCCCCGGAACTGCAGCCGTACGGTGCTGACAGAGACGGTTCTCCCCCGTCTAGCTATGCCCCTGCCTTCTAGTTCGCTCCCCAACCCTGTCATTTAGGGAATGGTGCAAGCCGGAAGGGGAAGCAGCAGGGCACCCCGTGTTTGTATTTGATTCCATTTAGATAAATAAAAATAAAGCTTGCGAGGGCAGGAGGGTGCAGAGACAAGTGCCGGTCCGCCGACGCGTCAGTCAGGGCCTGGAGTGTGCGGGGTGACGTTGGGGCGACGTCGGAGGCTGTGCGCTCGACGCCGGTTAATACCCACTTGGTATTGGTTGGCCGCTTGACTTGGGAAACGCAGAGCGGGCTCAGCAGTGCCCAGCGGCCCTTTCAGGTCCCCTCCCGGGCGGAGGCAGGTCGGATAATGCCTGCGCTTAGCCAAGTCCATAAACGGTGTTTAAGTCCCTTCCTGCTACGGTTTCCACTGGAAGAAAGTACGTTGCTGCTGAATGGAAAAGACATTACAAAGGTGAGGAAGTAGGCTGTTCAATAAGGAGAAATGGAAATAAAGCAGCAGAGAAATAATGGCCCAAAGCCCCCGTTTCTTGTCAATTACATTGGCGAGGGGCGCTGGCCCTGGAGGGCAGGGAGCCTCGTGCCACGTGGACACTCCTGTCGTGACATGCAAAGCGCGGGGCTGAGGCCCTGAGCGAGGGCCATCCCTGTCCTTGGCCTGGTGGCTGTGGCCCTGGGGACAAGGGCGTGCCCCGCCTCTTCTGGGAGCCCAAGGAGCCCACCCCCTGCAGGGTCCCAGCGCCGTGCTCCCGTTCCCACCGGGCAGGTGTCTTGGGCACAGGGCGGTGTTGATCTCTCAGTGTAGACGAGATGGAGAGGACTGAGACTTGTGGAGGAATTCCGAAACTTGAAACCGCATTGGAAATACCTTAAGAGTGAATCCTCCATAATTATTTCGAGTTCAGTGATGGCAGGATGGGAGAGGCTGCTTCTGGGTTTAAGCAGAATGAAGGCCCCTCCCCCTGGCGCACAGCTGAACCGCGAGAGGAAACCAGGCCCAACAGAAATGTCAGCCTCTATCAGCATTCCTCCTGCAAGAGGGTTAGGACTGGAGAGTTCTCTGATCTGTCTGCAGTAGAGGGAGTCTGTGTGCAAGGTGAGGTGAGCTGGTAAAAAGAGGGGCTTTGGGGTTTGTTTTCTTTTTCAGTTAGTGGAGCACAAACTGGATAAAAATAGAATTTGCACATAATTGTAAAACAGATGAAAACAGAAAGCTCTCTCAGTTGCCGTGAAAGCCCAGTAACCACAGAGTTTTATTCTGCGCTGTGAGTTATTTTAGCACATCCTCCGACACCAGCGGCTCCCCGGAGCTCGGCCACAGGCTGATCCACATGTTGGGGAGACAGCCACTCCCACTGGCCGTTCTGCGGTCAGCTGGTCAGAGGGAAGCCGGGTTTTGGTTCCGGGGCATCCAGGCCGTCCCTCGGAGCCGCCGTCACATGGAGCTCAGAGGAGGCCAGCACCCGGGGCTTTTGCTGCCCTTCTAGGACAGCCAGCTCATCGACCTGCTTCTGCATCCCCAAGCTTGTCGTGAAGTCAGGGGCAGTGGCCTTGTGTAGGACAGAGGCCCTGCCAGGCCCAGGGAGGACTCCTGCATTTCCCGAGCATCCAAGACGCAGGGGGAGCTGCCTCCACCTCCGCGGCCCCTCCTCTGAGTCTAGGAGACGCGACGAAATGCAGAACCTTCTTTCCGGGCAGAATCAGGCTGCAATTTCAGATGAGGAAAGGACCTTGCGTTCACGTGGTCTTGTCCCCGTTTTCATTTGGGGACACAGATGTGTACGGGGCTTGCCCAGCATCGTTCAGGGGCTGGTGCCGGGAGTGAGCGTTCCAGACCGTCCACCACCCAGACTCTCCAGAGTCCTTGACGGCCCTGGTGGGTGTGCCCGGCGGGCGCGTCTGGACCCCCGAGGCTGCTGTGACGGCCCTATCGGGTGCTGGCTCCCCTCGCCCGCGGGCTGGAGCTGGGCAGGTGCGGGCCGTCCTCCTCGAGGTCCCCGGCTCCACCGGCGGGTGTGCGTGTGATGTGGCCACAGCGAGCACCAGGGGCCCCAGGTCTGCGCTGGCCTCTGCTGACTTTGTAATGATGGGACCAGGGAGGAAGGGAGTGTGGGTTTCCCTGAACTTTAAAATTGTACCTTTTCCCCTACTGCCAAAGGATTCAGACACACGTAGAATCCGCCCGGGCGGGAGGCGTCCAGCTGGGGGCAGGGTGGAGTGTCCTGGCTCCCAGCGCCCAGGGCCCCTCTTGTCATCGGTCCAGACCTTCTGCCACCAGCGCCCCGCTTGTGTGTGTAAATCCATGGGCCGCTCCCTGGTTTAAGATGCAGGAGCCCCGAGAGCTTCCGACGGGGATGCAAAGGCCTTTTCCAGTGGTGCCAGCAGGACAGACTGACCCGGAGCAGTCAGAGCGGGTGCTTCACACCGTTGTTCTGTGTCTCCTGAGCTGCAGGGCTCACAGCGACTCTCCGGTGGGATGAGTGCGGGGCCCCTTCGCCCCGGGGGCCAGGTGTTCTGGGTGCGTCTGGGGGCCCTCCCTCCAGTCCAGTCTCCCAGCCCGTCCTGCTGGCACCCCGCCCCGCGTCCGCGCCCAGCGCCCGGCCGGCAGCCGCAGCTGGTTCCCTGCCGTTGCCGTCAGTGGGTCTGGGCTGAGGAGGGAGAGTCCCCCGCCTTCTCCCTGGGGAGGGAGAGCAGAGAGCCGTCGGGCTGCGTGGAGTTTGCCTTTCCAGTGTTTTTGCCGATAACTCAGAGTACGCGTC